AAGCAAAAACATTCAAAACCAGAAGATTTTTCAGGTGTTTGAATCAACATTGGTCTTGTAAAGTGGCAACAGACATGTCTAAAAACCAACAATATTTGATTTCCCAATGTGATCATGTTAAGTGAACAGTTAAAACCGGCATCCCATAAAAAAAAAGGCTGTTTTGACATTCCCATTAAAGTCTTTTCTAGTCCTACACAGGTTGGACAGAGATCCTAAATTAAATATGATATTGGGCTGGTTTTGCATACCCTAGTCGGGTTTATACGTTGAATAACTCTATTTGCACACCAATTCTTTTCTTCTTTTTTCCTTTTTTTTTTTTTGCTTTGCTGATTTTTATACTGAAGTCTTTGTTTACCAGCTTTTCCTGTCTATAAATATCAAGAGGAAATATGTATGGTTTTTAATAAGCTACATTGGAGACCAGCAGACCCATGATTGTTTTCAAGTTTTTCACATCTTTCAAGAGCACCTGAAACTCAGATAAAAAGTTATTGTAGATTTGTATCACAATTCACAATTCACAGTAATGATTTATATGGAACAAAAATCTTCACCATCTTCAGCAAAGGAGTCCAAATTAATTTTTATTTTTAGCAGGAAAGTTGAGTACACCTAGAAAGACTGTAAAATTATTACAACAAAGCTCTTCGTCCTTGTTTTAATTGCAATATAGAAGAGATTTAATTAAAAAAAAAAAAATCCATCTCAACTTTTACAGCATCATCCCAAATACCAGGTTTATCACTATAAAAATCACATAGCACTTGTGCAACTTGACTCGTACAGAAAATGAATTAATCATCTTCAGGGATATATTTTCTCTACATGCTTTCAAGGAACAATTGCATGTACACTTATCAATGTGTAATTCACCTAGGAATTCAAATGAATACAGTACAGACATGTAGCTGAGAGTTGATAATCACATCTTCACCTATGAGATCTCACCATTGTTCAGTAACAATCTATTCTGGTACTTTTACATTTAAAGCAAATTCCCCATAGTCCAGGAACCAGAAAGCAGAATTTCCCAATGTTCTTTATCGTCCTCACTGTGCAGCAATGATCAGATCACAGCTTGTCCAATACTATTCTCAAATTCATGGGGGAGCCAGCTGGTTTTATAACCTAGCAAAGTGAATTTTTTTTTTTTTCTTCTAGGCCAAACGATCAGTTAAGAACATTTTATTTCCTTTACACAAAAAGAAGAAACAAAATGCTGTAACTATAAAAAAGACAATGAAGTTACTAGCAGCAAATCTAAAATTCTTTTTCTAATATAAATGTGCAGAGAGGCAAGGGACAACAGGGAACACTGTCATTCTTGCACAGGATACCCATATTATATGATCAGAAATATTCACTTTAAGCTGAAACTCTCCTTTCAATGAAACTGGTAGGAGACGGGACATTCAGGTGTATTAAGTTGACTGGAAGGAAAAGCAAACTGTGCAAAAGACTGTACTAATTCAGTCTTGGCTTGACTGCTGTGTCTGCAAACCTATTAATTTCTTCTTACTTTGGCATGAACTGCAAGGTGCTAATCTAGCTTACAAAGAGAAAAAAGTGCATTTTCCATAATGAAGTTATATTAACCAACAGTTGGCAGTATATTGCAAGGCACAGCAGCATCATTTTTCTGTAAGTATAGGTAATTTTCTTTGTATTACCAACTGAAAATCTGCTCCAGCAAGAAAAGGCAAAATTTAGTTTATCTAACAATCCTTTGTGAGGAAGAAAAAGTACCAGAATCCTAGAGAAGCAAGCATTGAAGAAATATCAGATTAAATGTAACCACTTATATGGGTAAGAATACTTGATCAATGTACATTCAGGAATATTGAAGTTGCTGCCACATAATAGTAGGGACTTTTAGCAAAACTACCAAGCACAAGCTCCCATAGTTAAGACACATAGTAGTGAACAAGTTACTTGTCTTTAAGAAACAGGAAAAAAGGAATTTCATCATCAGCAAGACTTTAGAACATATTTTTGATTAAAGACTAACTGCTGATATGGAGATAAACTGAGACTGCAAAAGGAGTTTACCAAAAATTGGTTGTGTCAGACTAACCTGGTAACTGACTTTTTGCACCAAACAAGCAATGCATGTTTAATCAAACTAGACTTCAACTAGACATTTTACAAAATGCCAGTTACAATTGAAGCACTTCCTTGTTAGCCTGGAGAAGACAGTGCTTAGCACAAAATGTAAAGAGGAATGGCTAGAAAGCAGATAAGCAATTCTACTAAAGGAACAGTTTCTGGACTGAAAGGATAATATTAGTGGAGAGCCTTGCAATAGGTCTTCTGTGTTATTTTCATTAATGACCGAAGCTCAAAGACTAAGGGTGGGAATGAGGTCCACATTCAGACATGTAACTTCAGGTATCGACGGTGTGGTTGTCTCCAGACCGATGGAGAGCTGGTCAGTCAGCTAATGGACTCGTATCATACCAAGCATGAAAGCTGAAACAACCAGCAACAGCAGTGGAGGAAATGCTCCTTAAGTATACTAGTCAGTCGCGGGAGATAATACGATGTTACTGTGAAAGAATAAGTAAAATCATGGGGTGCAATCCATCAGTGAAATGCTGAATGAGGCAGGTGACCTAGTGACAAAGATCACAAACAGGCTTAGGCACCCAGTGTCTTCTTTACTGGTAAGGTCTGTGTGCTGTTTGCTTGCAGAGGCTTGCAATAACAGGGAGATGGACTGGATGACCCAGGGATCCTTTCCACTCCCATGTTTTTGTTTTTTGGTGGGACAGAAAAGAACATCATTTTTTAAAAGCAGTTTTCAGTGACCTGGTAAGAGTTGGCAGAGAACGGGCTCCATAGACTTCCAGATACTTAGGAAGGAAGGCTCTTCTGAGCACGTGTGATGGCATACTCAGTTAATCCAAAGGCTTCCAAACTGTGTTAGAGCTCATAGAAAAGTATGCCCACATACAGTATTTTTAGCCTAAACCTTTTCATGGTCAACCTGGCTTACCTATTCCATTCTAAATGGGTAGAAAAACAGCCTCTTTTAAAAAAAAATACTACATCTTATTTTGGAGTCTGGTGTCAACATTGTCAATGTATGTGTTTGAGGGACGTTTTCATCTCAGTGAGCCAGAGCATGTATTCTTCACAATCTGACATTCTTATACTTTCTTAAGGTATTCCCAACTGTGCATATTCATTCATGTGAGCACATATAAAGGTAGTGCTTTGTGACAGACTGCTGGAGTGCCTTTGAGTGTTAGACCTGGGCTATAAATGATGATCTTACTGTGTCTATCTACAAAGCCCTCTCCCTAGTACTAAGCCCCATCCTTGTTACACTTCGGCACAGCAAATCAGGCAAAGATAAGGTATCGCTTTCATCTTAAAATTCCTTTGCCTCTCACAACTTTGAAACAACATTTGCATTAAGTTAACATACTCTACATGCACAAACTTCATTTGTTCTTTTATTCACTGTTGAGACACTTATCAAATAAATTGAAAAAAATCAGGATAATAAGCTGTTAGGATCTGTTTGGGTTTGTCTTCTAAACACATGAGAAGCAAGTTGGTAGAGAAAGGTATTACTTTTATTTTACCAACAGAGATATTTGTGATTCAGTCATACCAATACACATTGCTGAAATAATGCACTATGCTGCTGTCTAAAGAGGATTTTTATTGCACGGTCGTAGTATAGAGCCACTGCATGTAGTTCTGTGTCTCTGTCTTTGCAAGACCTGACTGAAACTGAATTGGTTTTAATCCCAGACAAAGCTGGGATCTGCCCAACTCCGCAGTTTGTGAGGTGTCCACTGGTGGCTCTGGGGGCATCTGTAAATGAGAGTCGCTGAAGTACCGTGTGTCAGCCCTCTGTAGTCCCTCCCCTCCCGAGGAAACAAGGCACAACTGGAGACACTATGAACAGTTTGCTGAAATAAACCTGCTCATCCCTTTTTGTCTGTTGGGGTTGGCAACAAGCTGACACTGGCCAAAAGCTGTCACAATTTATACACCAAAGTGCAATCTGTACGAAAAATCATTCCTGTTAATCACTGTCCTGCTTTAGGTGATGAGCTTAAAGCAGCTCTGAATATGCAGACAAAGCGACAGTCAAAATAGACAACTTCTTAGTCCTCTAACTGCTTTTGGTTTCACTTTATACTATTTGAAATTTTATTCAAAATTTCTCTTTTGTACTTTGAGGGCATCAAGATTCAAAACAATGGGCTCTTTCAAATGAAGCTAAAGACACTTTTATAAGAAGCTGACTTTTAAAAAACACTACATTCCTGAACTGATATATTCCAGGGCAGAATATATGTTTACAGGCAAGTTACGCAGGCACATGGAAGCACAATCTTAACGATTCATAAAGCTATTGAGACTTTAATTGAGTGGCATTAAGGAGTTCAAGTTGATGATGTTAGCTTTCAATTTAAGCCCTAAGACTAGAGGCTTATAAGAATAGCTTTCGTCAAAACCCTTTATTGAGGGTATTACCTGAAAGTGGAGTACTTAAAAGCTACATTACATAAGAAGACACACTGCTTTATATCTGATGTGGAACTAAAACAGCCTGTAATGATTCATCTTTTGTGAGTTGGACTGATAATTTTTTCTATCTATCTCTATCTCCTATTTCAGTTTATTCTCTTTAGGTTTTAATGAACTGCAAGGAAAACACAAATTAAATACCAGAGGTGGATGAACAGCAGTACATAATGCAGTCAGCTGTAGGAAGAAGGCACCTTTATAACCCGTATTTTGGACAGACTTTTCCAGGACAGTTCTCCTGTGAATGTGTTCTGGCTTGGTTTAGTGTATTCTACTGAACATATCATCCTCCAAGAGATACCTACATTTTCAAGTCTCCTCCTTGTCTGTGTACAACACATTGTGTCCCATTTGTTTCCACCAGCTCTAACCAGGATGCCATTAGTCATGTGCAATGAACACCAGGTGGGAGGGAAGATGGTGCAAATTCTCAAGACAAAGCCAAAATGCTTTGCTCAGTGGGATTTCCCTTTAAACCAGGTCCCGATTACAAGGAGCTGGATGTTCACCTTCGGAGAATGGAGTCTGGGTTTGGCTTCAGGATCCTGGGAGGAGATGAGCCTGGACAGCCTGTGAGTTATTTCTTCCTGACTTTCCTTTTTATAGCTCTAAAATCTGTGTAAAAGTCAGAAAAGTATTATTACATAGCTGAACCCAAATGAACACCGTGTTCAGGCTGTAAGTAAAATGGCTTTTTTATTCATCCATAGGTTGTCTGCATCTAAAAGATGTCACAGTAAGTTAAAATCAGAAGGAATTAAGTTAGAAACAGTGAATCGCTCAGCCCTTTACTGCAGAGTATGACCTGGCATCTTTTAATCTTGACTTTCCAAAACTGAGTTTAAGCAGAAGATTTTAAAAATCAGATTATATAAGACTATGTATAACTGTGTTCAATGTAGGCAGACTATATTTATGCATAAGTTTAAAAGATACTGTTGACAATGCAGTTTATTTCCAGAAACACAGAAGGCCCCACCAGGGAACTGTAGTCCATGTGCCAGGTTAGATTATAACATGTGATGCATCAGGCATAAAAACAGTAGCTTTATACCATTAGGAGGGAGACATCCCTGTAACCAAATAACAGGTAACAAAACCAACATAGATTCATTGCAGGTGAAATAAATTATAAAATAAAACATATACACAATTTTTAAAAGAAATATGTACACATTTTGGTAAATTAGTGATATATATCAATACTATAATTTTGAGAGGGCAGGAAGAATTAGTACTCCTTCAGAATAACTTTGATGAGGTGCTTAGGGACATGGTTTAGTGGGCATGGTGGTATTGGGTTGACATTGGACTTGATGATCTTAGAGGTCTTTTCCAACCTTAATGATTTTATGATTCTATGATTCTATGATGATGTAACTATGGTTTGTCAGCGAGGACTAATCCCAAGTCAATAATGATAACATTTTATTATCATAACCTTATGCATAGTCTGAGTCCTGTGTTACTACATTTCTGACATAATGTATAACTAGTTGATAGATTTATATAATCCATATTCAGATTCATACAGAATATAGTTGTCATTCAAGCATTAACATTAACCAACACATGGCTCTGACAAACAAAGAAGCTCCTCTGTTTTAAAATTGTCAACATCTGTCGAAGTATTGATAAATATTAATAGTTTACTGATGCCTCCTGTAAAAAGAAACAAAGGCACTGTATTCTAAAAAAGGCGCTTCAAGTGCTGATTGAAATGCAGAGACCCTATTTTAGAATAAGTGTTTTGGAATGGATTTTCAAAGCTGAATAAGGTGTAGCTGTACAGAAGGACTACAAAACAACACTGTTTCATGATCTACACTTGCAGTGTGCCTGAAACCCCGCTGGCATCTAACCTTCTTCCATGGAGCATGTCCCAGAGCACATAAAATGAGGCCACTGAGCCATCATCTGCACATTCTCCAACTAAGCATGTTTGCTGTCCTTTCTGGATGGCCCAGGGAGTATGGGTTCTCAAAGCTCGCCTGCTGGGTGAAGCCAAAAAGGAAATCTGTTAGGAGCTAGAGGAAATGTCCTACTTTATCATTTTATCCTGCAAATAGTTGGCACTAGTGGAAGATTTGGAAATCTCCCTCTACCTGCTTGGGACAGTAGTGTCTAGTGGCATTTCCCACCTCCCAGGAAATTGTCCCTGGCTACAAGGCTGCTCAGTATTCTGGGAAAGTCTGTCTTGGTCTCTCCTTTAGTGCTTTTTTCACTACAAATGGGTAATTAAGTAGTCACAGACTGAGTGTCTGACTGGCTCTGCAGTTTCGAGGTTTATGACTTTCTCATGGGGAAAAGTGCAGCTCAAATGCCTCATCTAAAAGATGATTATTTATATAAAATGGAATTATTTTAACCTAAAGGACTGCGAGAAAACTGATTTAGAATATCTAATATTCTGATGGTTAAGAATATATGCTGGAGTTGTGGGAGACCTGAATTTATGTCTCTGCTCAACAGTGAATTTAGGTCTCTGCCCAACAGTCCAGCAGAGTGGGAACTTGGAAATGAGTCTTTTGCCTCCCAGCTGCAAGCATTGTGCACTGAACTGTTACAGAGGAAGCAGCTCTTTCTAGTTTCTTTTCAGCAAAGGACTGACCTGGCTTTACTGTCCAAAGTCAAAGAGTCGTAGCTGGATACAAAGTGCAGAGATAAGCACCTTGGTATTTTTGGAGAGCAGGACCAAAAATGCTGCCTTCTGTGAACCACCTTGTAAGACGCTTCACTCTCCTGCT